CAAAATCATTTTTAAATTCTGGCAGACAAAACTGCATAGGGTGTCGACATTACAGCGTTGGCATCGACATTTATGATTCAAGTTTTACGGGGTAGTTATTTTCTAAAGACTTAGCGTATAATGTTGACAGCTGACAATTAGTGTCAACACTAAACCGGTGTCGAATTTCTGCACTTCTACAATTTCTTCAATGGTAAACTAGCTGGTCTGGTCATCCAGCTTCATCATAAGGAGTACTTTGCTCCTATAACTTCGAATTCATTCTTTTAGGTCCCTGATTAGTGATTACAACCTGTCTTCTCGTTATATAATCCCTTAACTTTCAAAAGATATTCACTTAAGTCTAAAAACTTCTTTTATTATGTTTTCAAGTCATTTTCTACAATAAAAATAAAATTATTGTAAAATTCATCGAAAATTACATCCATTCATCCAAATAGTAATAAAATTAAAGCTAAAATAAGAAATTAAGACATGTAAAATGCATCTCATTAGTCAGACCTCCTTTGAGAATTAACCTTGCAACAAATGATTGAAATCCCCTGAAAGTTTTCATTTTCGATTTTGATGGACTGATTATAATGCAAAGTGTAGCCTCATATTTAAAGACCAGTTTGAAAGAGAATTAAAGGCCTTATCTTGCATGGTTGACTCTCAGTTGTGAAAAAACTTCACTGGCCGATGGGTAAGACTCATCTGTAATGCTGTCCCTCAAAATGGGCATGTCGTCTCTCTCAATTTGCAGGCTAAGTGAAGGGAGTTGTTGGACGTTAACCAATCGCAAACCGAAGGTAGCATCAATGGTGCTGTCCTCGTGAGGCTCTCTGTACACCGCAGTTTGCTGGAGATGTAAAGCATATTCCAAGTCCCACAGCACTTTGTCCATGCTAGGTCGATTTGCACCATCTTCCAGCAGACATTTCTCGAACGTCTCTGCAAATATCCTCAGTGAGTTGGGATTGATATGACCCTTTATTGATGGATCCACAATCGTCTCAAGCAACCCTTTTCGGTGGCATAAAAGTCCCCATTCCGCTAAGTTCACCTGTTCCATTGGAAGCTGGGGATCTCCACAAATAATAGCCGGTCTTGCACATAGCACCTCAAGAAGCACGACGCCGAATGAGTAAACATCGGATTTCTCAGTTAATTGATGTGTGTTGAAGTATTCAGGATCGAGGTAACCAAATGTGCCTTTGATCCCTGTGTCTACGTGGGTTTGATCCATCGGAGCTGATTTGGAGAGCCCGAAATCTGCAACTTTGGCGATGAGGTTTTCATCAAGCAGGATGTTTGTCGACTTGATATCACGATGGATGATTCCACCGGCACATTCTTTGTGGAGGTAATGAAGGCCCCTGGCTGCATCGATGCAAATTTGAAGTCTCTGTTTCCAGGGCAAGCAGGACCGGTTTGTTTTGTAAAGATGATCCCGCAATGTCCCATTTTTCATTAATTCATATACCAATATCATCTCAGACCTTTCATCACAGTATCCTATCAGGGAAACAAGATGGCGGTGGCGGATTTTGGATAGGATCATGATTTCCGTCTGAAATTCCGATAACCCTTGGCCAGACCTTGGCTGACCCCGTTTTACTGCAACTTGCAAGCCATTTTTGAGTTTTCCTATGTAAACATTTCCGAATCCACCCTTTCCAATCAGCAGCTTCTCATCAAAATTGTCTGTAGCAGACCGAATTTCGGCGAAGGGAATTCTCAGGCCAAGGTTCAAATTCGGGACAGGGGACACATTCATGGGTCCGTTGGTCCCCCTGCTATGGGTACTTTCGCTGCCGTGGACACTTAACGGCAACCAAATTGAAGTTTCAACTGGAGTTCTCTTCCTCTTCTTCAAAACAATAAACAATCCAACAGCGAAGACGCAAAGTAGACCCCCAACAACAAGACCGACCACAAGGAAGACAGTTTTCTTAGTTTCATCGGACTCGATAACTAAACTTGATTCACCCATGATATCCATTATCTCCACTCCATTCAAAAACGCAGTATAATGCTCAAGCGAATCTTCCGAAGGACCAATGCAGATATTCATAACCCCCGATTCATCAGAATCAACTACAAAATCCAAGTAAAACGGTGACCCCACATCACCAGCTTTCTCATAAGGATCGATTTTCTGATGGTAGACACTATTAAGGTACAAGTTGAATGTAATGCTAGCCGCTGATGTACCAACAATGTCACAGAAATGAACCCGAACAAAATGGCTAGAATTCTTAGACACAATGAAGGACCACGTCACATTGGATGTGTTTGAGAACTTACTACTATCTATGTTCATCTCTATGGCAGTCTGGTACACAGGATCAGGTGCAATAAACTCAGTAAATGCTCCTTGATAATTAGGCCTAGCCGAATAAGGTGTGCTCTTCTTTGCCAGGCTTGGATTACTTAAAAATCCGTTATCAGTTATCCATGTCCTCCATAAGGTATCATTATCTGGTGTTACTTTTTCTCCCCCAACATTGATTCTGTAAATTGTCTGTAAAGCGTGGGACAGTATACCACTGTAACTGTTATTAAGTGGAGTTGTAGCCTTGTCAGGGATGAAATTTTCTGGAGCAAGGAAGACTTCTATGGCGTTTATGAAGGCGAAAGAGGATCCTTGAGGGGTAAAGTAGATTGAAAATTTTCCTTGAGTCATGTTAAGGAGGAATTCGTCTATGAGAGGAGAATTGGTATAAGTGGTACTGCTTCTTAGAATGGTGAAATTCTTCAACAGGGAAAATCGAACAGTTGAAACATCAAAAACAGCTTCGGAGACATCAGTTGAATTGAAGAAATGAAGACGTACCAGATACGTCCCACCAGTTTCGATGTCAAACTCGTAGGAAGACTGCTGCTTGAAAATTCTTGCTGCTTGGTACAGAACATCTGATGTCTGGCTGTTGGTTATCACAGAGCTTCTTTGCTTGGTAAAAGACAAGGAACCTGGGTAGATCAAATCCCCGATAAAGGTCCGGCCATCGCTGCGGCTGGAGTTGGCCTTTGAGCCACAGTTGATGAAGTAGTGATCTGGGGGAGTGTAAGCTGCAGGGGAAAGCAGGATTGAGAGGAACAAGAGGAGAAAAAGAAGAAGCTTTTCCATTAGCATGGTGCGATTGTTTCTGAGTTCTCGGTTTGGAGAAAAGAAGGAAGGCAGAGCTTGATTGAAGGTGGAGATTCAATGGATGAAAAATCAATTTAAGGCAACTTGATACGTTGTGGCAACAATCAGGGAGAGCTCGCGGAAGAGTTAAAACTGCTACAGTGATTGAAATGAAATATTGTTTTTTGTATTTGGAAAAGTATACACTAATAATTCATAAAGTAGCTACCCAAGCCAATCACTTAATGGCCAACGGCCACTCTCCTTTGGGAAAGGGGTGACCAGGTTTTGAGTTTCAATCCAAGCCATTACAACCGCTTTACTTAAATTACCCTTGTTGAAAAAAAAAAAAAACCAAAAAAAATACGATTGGAAAATTATGACTGAGGTTATTACCACACGACAACTTTTTTAAGATCACAAATTTAACGCCACCCATTTAATAAGTTAGTGATAAATTTTTTTATTGAAATTAAAAAATTATAAATTTTTTTATTGAAATTAAAAAATTATAAATTTAAGTTGTATAGTATATAAATAAAATGAGATAAAAAATAAAAAAAAACTATCTTTTAGTATGTAATCAATATAGAAAAAAAAAATCACAAATTTAACTTCATTTTAATAATCTATAGCTTTTTAAAAATAATTAGTTATAATATTTAAAAATATTTGTTATAAATTGATTTAAATTTGTTAAATACTCTCTTTATCTCATAATAATATACTTTTTTATTTAAAATTTGTCTCAAAAAAA